TCTTAAGATAAAAATCAACATCTCAAAAACAAAATTTTGAATCAAAACCAAAAAGTATACAGATCTTTAGATTAGTATAACTAAGAAGTGTGTAAAATTTTAAGCAATAATCATAAATCGTTTTTGAGATACGGTGCGACATGTGAAAAACCCCTCCCCCTTTTTTACAAAATACTCAATAACTCAAAAATAAAATTTTGAATCATCACCAAAAAGTATACAGATCTTAAGGTTAATATAACTAAGAAGTGTGTAAAGTTTTAAGTAATAATCATAAACTGTTTTTGAGATACGGCGCGACATGTGAAAAACCCCTCCCCCTTTTTTAACAAAATACTCAATATCTCTAAAATAAAATTTTGAATCATCACCAAAAAGTATACAGATCTTAAGATTAATATAAATAAGAAGTGTGTAAAGTTTTAAGCAATAATCATAAATTGTTTTTGAGATAAACGCGACATGTGAAAAAAACACACACCTGTTTTAGTTACTAAGTCCCGTAACTCAAAAAGTTTTAATCTTATTTTCACAAAAAAGTATACAGATCGTTTGACCATCATAAGAAACAACTGTATTAAGTTTCATGAAATTTGGATAAGTCATTCTCAAGTTACGGTGCGACATGTTTACATCGGACAGACAGACGGACGGACGGAAGGACGGACACCGGACATTTGTATACCATAATACGTCCCGTCAAAAATTGACGGGCATATAAAAAAAGATTCTTTGGTCAGGTTGTTGTCTCTTTGACGCATTCCCCGTTTCCATTCTGAATTTTATTTAAAAATCAGTACCCCTTCTCAAACTAGAGGCTCTCAAGAGCCTGTGTCGCTCACCTGTATTTACTGATGCTTTGGAAATCATGTAAAATAAGGTTAAAATCATAATTAATAGTATTAGATATTAGATATTATAATGATATCTAAGATAATAACAAAAAACTGCAAAATTTTTGTAAAATTACTAACTCAGGGGCAGCAACCCAACAACGGGTTGTCAGATTCATCTGAAAATTTCAGGGCAGATATTCCTAAATCTGATGAACATTTTTGCCACCTGTCAGATTTGCTCTAAATGCTTTAGTTTCAGAGATATAAACCAAAAACTGCATTTTACCCCTATGTTCTATTTTTAACCAAGTCGGCCATGATTGTTGGAAGGCGGGGTCATCGGACAAATTTTTTAAACTAGATACCCTAATAATGATTATGGCCAAGTATGGTTAAATTTGTCTCAGTAGTTTAAGAGAAGAAGATTTTTGTAAAAGATTACAAAAATTTACGAAAAAATAGTTAAAAATTGACTATTAAGGGCAATAACTCCTAAAGGGGTCGACTGACAATTTTGGTCATGAAAACTTATTTGAAGATCTTACTTTGCTGAACATTATTGCTGTTTACAGTTTATCTCTATCTATAATAATGTTCAAGATAATAACCAAAAACTGCAAAATTTCCTTAAAATTACCAATTCAGGGGCAGCAACCCAACAACAGGTTGTCAGATTTGTCTGAAAATTTCACGGCAGATAGATCTTGACCTGATAATCAGTTTTCCCCTTTGTCAGATTTACTCTAAATGCTTTGGTTTCAGAGATATAAGCCAAAATCTACATTTTACCCCTATGTCCTATTTTTAGCCATGGCAGCCATCTTGGTTGGTTGGTGGGGTCATCGGACACATTTTTTAAACTAGATACCCTAATGATGATTGTGGCCAAGTTTGGTTTAATTTGGCCCAGTGGTTTCAGAGGAGAAGATTTTTGTAAAAAGCTAAGGACGCCGCCGCCGCCGCCGCCGACGGACGACGGACGCCAAGTGATGAGAAAAGCTCACTTGGCCCATTGGGCCAGGTGAGCTAAAAATTGAAATATCAAAAGAAAATGTATCAATATTGAGAAATTCTCAATCTTTGGGCAATTGAATATAATTTTTGTAGCAGTATCATGAAAATGGATTAAATCTCCTTATCTTCAGTGTCGTATAATTTTTCATCGTAAATCAATAAGTGATCCTAAGATTAAGATTAGTAAGAAAAATTACATACCAATGTTTAAACATGGAAATATTCTCAAAAGCAACCATTTACATGTAAATTTAGGGAGAAAAGCTTGTTTTATCAACTGAAAAAAACAAAACAATTATCTTTCTGAATTTAATACAAGTTTTTTTTTTGTTCACCATGATACATGAGAATATGATTTAAAATTTTACACACAACTCTTCCAGTCTTTCCATCAGTGATTTCGATTACTTTGATTGTCAGTAGTACCTTTGAAGATTTTTTTCTCTGAGAATATCATGAGCAGAAAGGGTGATTTTAAAAAGGAAAAATAACACTGTGTGTTTTTTTTTCAGTTCTTTGGTTTCTTCTCTATTAAAAGTGGTAAAACACAATGTTTCATATAATAAGGTTGAGGCAAATTAAGTTAGAGAATAGAAACCAATTTTGGGACGCACGGACGGTCAAGGGTAACACTTAATGCCCCCTCCTGTGATGGTGGGAGCATCAAAATGTCTGACTAACTGACTGTAGCTAAAAAATGGCTGGATCACAGCATCGATGGTGCTTTGATTTTTTTTAGGAACACTTTTTAATTACTAAAAATGTACAATGCTCAGAACTTAGTATGAGCAATGAAGAAATATCATGTTTTCAACATTAAGGTGACAATACATAGCATATATTTTGAAAATGTATATCATACACACACACACACAGTCTTTACACATAGGAAAATATAATGACACTCTCAACACACAGCCTTTACATATTATCAGACTCATTAAGGTGGCTCGGGTGTCTTCCTCCATCTTGGATTTTGAAGTAGCAGATAACAATTGGTCTAGATCTTTAATGAAATGTGCAAATTTTGAGAGTAGTATGTAATTTATGAGTAAGACTTTTAATGTTAATATAGAAAATTATGTGTTTTATCATATTTATGGCTGTATTTTCTAAAAAAACACAATATTTTTGTTTGATTTTTTTTCAACTTTGCCAAATAAGGGGAGATAACTCAGATAGCAGGGGAGATAACTCAGATTAAGTAATTTTATAATAGAAAGTGTTGTGAATTTACCTATTTTATTATGTAGCAAGAAAACAAGTCCGGTGACCCCATTTTTTCTTTTCCTTATCTGAAAGCATGTTATAAGAGCTACCTTCTCACATTTTATCTTAAAATTGTATGGAGTAGTTTTCTTTTTATCACACAAAATTGGATTTTCCATGCATAATCTATACAATTTTGCACAACCTGTAGCGTGAAAAAAAGTCCGGTGACCCATACTTTTTATTGTATTTTTGAAAAAAAACATGATAAAAACTTCATTTTGACAAATTATTAAAAAATTCTATGGATTTTAATTAAGACCCCCCAGCCACCTTAAGTGGCAACTATAAGCTTTACTTTTTGACCAATCAAACATATATATGTCCTGGTATTAAATGGAAAATTTAAGATGAGAAAAAAATCTTAATTTTTGAAAAACAAAAAAAATATTTCTATTAAATTTGATGTAAATTTGTACATTGGTCTCTAAGAATCTGTTGTTAGCTTACAAATATATTGCAGATAGCAAGAACAAAAGACATAAAGTGACCAATAATGTTTCATTTCTAGAAAGCATCTTTAATTCAATGTCCTACTTTAAAAAAAAAAAATCTTAATATTTCAAAATTGAACACTAACAACTACTTATAGTATTCAGTCTGATTTTCATATATAAAATTATTCATATTAGATATGAGCTGCGTAGGATAGAAATCAACCTTGTGCAAGACTTTCATTGATTTTGGAACATTCAAATACAAAATTAAAGATGAATTTTGGTCTATTTTGTATAATTCTTATAACAACTCAATTTTCAAACAGTTGCAGACTTTCTGTACAGATTTTTTCAACCCGAAATAGGTTAACAATGTATGGATATTCATTTGCATAATTTTATTTCTATCAGACTCAGCTCATATATTTGTGCATCAACACTGCAGATAAGTTTAACTTCATGTCAAACATACATCAAAAATACAAAATGTGTTGCAGTATTGCATCAACATGTGAAACATGCAATTTCTTATTTTAACTCTTGAATAAAAAAGAGTTATTTTTACTGGAAAAGCTAGTTTTCATTAAGAATTCTTTTTCAAGTTCTTCCATCATATTGAGCCTCCACCAAACTTTTAACTCTGATACCATTCCCAAATAAATGTGGAATAATGTTAAAATCTATTAGGAAAGGATTAGAAATGTTACAAAAAATAAGCTTTCATCAAAGCTTTCTGATGTGTGGGTTAAATAGTCAATATACATTGTACATTTAATTTTTTTTCTATTGATCAACTATCTATTTTGTTTTTATTTTATTTTGCATAGATAAGGAATCAAAATACAATTACCTTTAAAAAAAAAACAAGTGACATTACTTCAATAATGCATTGCTTTTATAATTCATAAGATTGATTATTGACATTAATTCAAGGTTAAAAGCAAGATTTAACTTTAAAAATGTAACATTTCTATAATTAAACACATGTAACTTTCTTGTTTGATTTCCACAGGTTTATCAAGTAATTTTTTTAAGGAAGTCGAAGGCAAGTAATTCTTAAAGGCAATTAAGCAGTACATTATTTTCCTTTGCACGGGTTTTCAATTGAAATTTCCCTGAAAAGAATTCCCAAATCAAAATAACTTCCTGATGCAAATCAAGATTATTTTAAGCAAGTTTTAACAATTGAATTATAGTTGGTATTCAAAATAGAGAATAGTGGACAGCCAAGATCATTTCTCGTGCCATTAATCATGGTTTTAAACATTTTCTTTATCATTATTAAAAGGAGAAATAAAGAAACTGATTTGACATACCTTTTAAGATATTCATATTGAAAGTGGCGATAGACTGTGATTTGCCAACTTATGAATAATTATTTGGACAGCACATTCCAGTTAATATAAATAAAGGGCAATAACCCACTCCATACAAAGAGGCCTACCTTGTGAGCTGGACTCTCCTAATACATATAGTTCTAGTTAAACTTCTATATATGTGACAATTTACTAAAGAAAATAACTGCGATTCTGAATACATTTGAACTTAATTATCATTCAATTTCTTATCTTTTTACTAATATGCTGTTTGTATAAAGTATTTGCACAATGACATACTATTTTCATTCCTTCTTTAAGATAGTGGTCATCCTATTGGAAGCTTCATTTTCCCTCTGTAAGTTAGTGGTCGTCCTGTTGGTAGCTGCACAGGGCTTAATTTTTATTGTGTGTTTTAGTTGAACAACAAATGGTCTAGATAGGTAAAGTGGGAGGTTTGTGTGCATGTAAGATTGGTTTATCCACAACACATTTTGTGCCTGTATCAAGTCAAGTAATCTAGACCATAACTTTTTCATTGCTGCATGTCTTTGTATGCAAGTTTGGGTGTTAATAAGGAGTCTCTTGTGATGTCCAGCATCTTTTAATATTCCTGTCATCCTTTTTATTTTTTATGTTCACCTACATGAATATTCTTATGAGAAAACAATTTTTGATCCATTTTCTACCATTTGTGTTTTAAAAGTTATCTTATATAAAGATTAAGATTCTATAATTATTTAAAATGACAATACTGTATTTTTTGGTCAACTCTGAATCAAAAAATTAAAAAGACTATTTTATCAATGATCATTCATAAGCTGAATTAATAATTCAGTAAAAACAAAAAGTCCTTAAGTTCACCTATGAACTCACCAAAGTTATATCCTTCTGCATCTAATGTTAACTGCGGTTCCATTGTCTTACTACGTTTAACTGGACGACATTCTGGCTCTTCCATTTCCTAAAATTTTCATATTATAAATTTGTGTTTTAGTAATTTTTTGCATTTTGAGTGAATACAAACTACAATATTTCATGCTGTATTTTCCAATTTCTTTTTAGCAATTATGTTTGAAGTGAAAAGCAGTTGTGAACCTTAGACCAACAGGACAGATAGCAATTTGATTTTTGATAAATTTTGATATTTTTAGTCTTCTTTTTTTATTATGATTCTGAACTAATGGTTGAACATGTAGGGAAATAACATGAATAAAAGGGTTATTCAACCAAATTGGAAAGTAATTTGACCAACTGCAGTGAACAAGTATAACAACCCATATCTATTTGGCAAGTACATTGTCTTACACTTTCTAATGATTCAAATGGGGTACCATAAACCTAAAAAAGTCTATCAACCTCTTTCACATTTCAATTACGATTGTTTGACATTTCATATAATTACCAATTAAGTACATAACATATGAGTCATTGACAATAGATAACGTCATCTTAGTTATCAAAGTGTCTAGGAAAAACAATCGTGTATACTCTAAAGTCATCATATTTTTTTTCTTGTTCAAATGTTGAACAAGTGACTTACATCTAATTCTACTTCCTTTCTTGATCTTTTCCGTCCTCTCCTTAAGTGAGACATTATATCTGAAAATAAGTTTAAAGATCCAAAAGCTTTATCAAAATACAATCTTATGATAGAAATTAACCAAAGTTACACTGAATTTTCTACATAAGGAAATGCCTGTGCCAAATCAGGAATATGACAGTTGTTTTTCATTCGTTCGTTGTGTTTGAGCTTTTGATTTTGCCATTTGATAGGGGACTTTCCATTTTGAATTTTCCTTCAAGTTCTGTATTTTTGTTATTTTACTTTTTTGTTAAGAATTAATCATTAGATTTTTTTTTCCAGTGAAAAATATAACTTTTTTCTGTAAACACAAGTGCAAGAAAAATACTTTTCTTTCCTATTGTCTAGGTCAGAATTAATCATTTTAAAAATAAATTTTTCCAACAAACCTCTGTAGTAATGTACATCCTGTTTTATTTTAGCTATGTTGAAAACTGAAGATTTGAAATTCCAAGTAAATAAATTTCTCCAAAATAAAATGTTAAAATTTCCAGATATAAAATGAAAATTGTAATTTTCATTTAAATAATTTGAATACAGTCGAACCTCGTTGTGTCGAACTCGGTTGTGTCGAAAACTCGGATGAGTCGAAGTAATTTCGCGGTCCCGGTAAAATTTCCGTTTGATCAATGCATAATTACCTCTGATGAGTAGAACTCGGTTGATTCGAATACTCGGTTAAGTCGAGTAAATTTTATAGTCCTGTCGATGTAAAATTCATGTAAATTGACCCCGATGACTCGAAATTCGAAAGTAAGAATTTTCAAAAGATGCAGACCTAATGATGATTTCTTATGTAACCTAATCATTTTCAAAAGAGATTAAAGTTGAGTAAACATACTTGTTTGTATAACAGTTAAAACGACATGTTTATGGTGACCGGTAATTAACACCTTTGTTGATCGTTCAAGTAGAATGTTAGTGTGTTGAACATTTTTCACATTAGATAAAAACAAAACGAATTTAAATAACCCAAGCCGAGATTAAATGAATCGTTAGATTTGAAACTCATTAATTACAATAAATAACAGGATTAGGACAATTATGATAAATTCATGATAATTTAATGTAAAGCAGACGACCTCTGGCTCATCAGAGACCGTTCATAACTTAATTCGTTCCGCGAGTGATTTCATAATTTATAGTGACTGACCTTTGTAAATATTTGTGTAGACTATTTTTATTTTTTTTTATTTGTGCATTATTTGTATCTGTACTTGTGTGTTTAATTATTATGAAGGACCAAAAATGGAGATTGAATACACAATCATAAAGTGTCATATCGAAAAAAGGCACACTGTTCATTGTATCTAGTTTACACAAATCTCATACCGTATTTCATGCATTCCAAATTTATGACGACACATTCGACCTCGGATGAGTCTAACCTCGGATGTGTCAAATACTTTGGTCCGGTCCCTTCGACTTCGAGGCAACGAGGTTCGACTGTATTTAGATATTGTCATCTTATGATTGTGACTGATTTCAGACCAACCTTTTTCAGCTGTCCTGGCAGTCTGTGCTGATGTTATACACATTACACATAATTTTGCTAGTATATAACCCCTGGGATCTGTCAGAAGATTTGTATGTTGTGATGACTGTAGAAACTTAGGTATGGTATGTAGAATCAGACTTAAGGTGAGAGGTTCTAAATCCATATAAAATATAGCAAACACTATACTCAAGGCTTTGTTCAGGTCTTCTAAACGACTTCCTTCTAACATACACTAAAACAGAAACATACTTCATTTTTAAGTAATCTGTCATAAAAGTATAAGCATTTATGAATTGTAAAGTAAAAATGTTGACACTAGGGTAATACTTCTTACTAGAGGTGTCCATATACTGGACTTTAATAACATATACATATAATGCTTTTGTAATGGTTGATGATATATTTAATACCGGTATTATATTCTTTTTACCAGAAAAAAATCAATAAATCATACAATTATAACAAGGTATTTTTGAATTATCTATAGTTTTAACTTTTGCAATGTTATACATTTTCTGAAAATACAAGAGAATAATAAAATATATGTATAACGTGTAATTATGTGTATTGAAAAGTATACACACCACTTACTAATTAATAGAATGATACAATATTATCTCCCTTGTTACTATGCACTATTGTAATGATTATTTCTTCTGGCAATGCTTTGGCCAGAAAAAATAAGTGTGTTTAGGGTTCCTCAAATGACACTAATCTGAACTTAAACTGTAGTAATTTTGGGGATTTCTTCATAATCTTTTCACAAATATACTAGTTGTTGTAACCCCTAACTCATTCTATAAAACAAACATCACAGTTTGGGGTCCTAAAGACCCGTCTATATTCCTTTTAATTGATAAATTCAACAAAACTTACCATTATCTTGATGATATTTTTTCGTTAAATAATCAAGAATTCTCTAAATATACTGCAGAAATTTACCCAAAGGAACTTACTTTAAATAAATTAAATATTAACAGCAATAACTGTCCTTTCCTAGATTTTATATACCCATATGGAGTTTTTTTCTTTTAGAATGACAGGTCATTTTTTGGAAGAAACAACCCAGACAATACCAAGTTTCAATGTAATGTGCTTCCAAGCATAAATTAATGACCTTTTTAAGGTCATTATTTTCCCTGATTAAAATGCAAACAACAGTTTACCTAATCAGTTAAATTCATTTGATAGTTATCATGTGTTTTTGCCAATAGGTTTTTTTCTTTTCAATTTTCCATCGTTAATATATTTTAGGCAGAAACAATTCTTTCCTCTGTTTATTAGACTGAAATACCAGTAAATGTTGATAACATATATTTTAAATTTCGAAACAAATAAGTTTGTTAATTTATCACTAAAATAAAGGGACATTGCATGAGATATATTTATTTATTCAAAACTTTTCAATACACCTTTAAAACAAGCCAAACTTTATCCTTTTTCATGTGTAGGATTTTTTTTTAAACAAAAGAACACAATACAAACTTTTTGGTTCACACTGTATTGGAAAACATACTTTTGTCCGTTTTTCGTGGTATATATTATTACGATTTTGTGCTCTCTTCGTGCAAGTTCTGGATTTTTTTTACCATTTACTCAATCAAATGACCAAATATTCTCATTTTTTGTTCTATAAAGGAACAGCTATGTACATCATAATAGGAAGGTTATAATATGTTATCCTGATTATCAATTATTGATGAAAAAAAATGTATTGCCAAACAAAAGAAATTAAAATAATCATTCTGAATAGCTCATCTTAAATTGTTGAAAAAATAATTTGCAGTAAAAAATGGCATGAAATAGAAGAAAAAAATATAGCGTCCCCCTTTTATAAAATTTATATAATAAATTAATTACAAAGTGACTTGTATTTTTCATACACCGTAACAATTAATTTTTTCCTCTCCTCATGGAATAACAATATTATTTTTCTTGCTACTGGACAGTAATTTCTATAGTTAATATGATCTAGATTTATTAGTGAGTTTTACTTCACATTATAAATGAGTCGTAGGGCATATTTAAACCTAAACTAATAAGAAAAGAATATCTCCCTTTAATGTGATTGGTAAAATAGGATACAATCCTGGAAATCTTTGCAGAAAATAATATTTTTGACATTATATAAGTCAGATAATGCATATTTTGAGGATTTTCTTTTTGTAAAACACACCTTGGGGTGTCAGGATTTCCCAAAGAAAGACCTCCCTACAGTTGGTCTTTCATTTGATTCATCCTAACCGCTTAGTGTGTTATACAAGAAAAACCTTAAAATATGCATTACCTATAACCGATTTATCAGTTTGACACAAGAAACTCTACACAAAAATTTATGACAAAAGGGACGATTTTTCTTTCCCTATTGTTAATTTTCCTTTTATTGGACGGTGATGTTCCTTTGGCACAGTCTTACGGTGTTTATATATCCCAACTCGTTCCCTATGCCCATGTCTGTAGTGACATTTTGGATTTCAATGAGTGTAATCTATGTTTGGCTGTATCTGTAGTATACTTGCTTCAAATGGAATAGCACATCCTAATTTTTACAGTGATGTTGTTTAGGCTGGAAATTTAGATACGATCCAGATAAACTTATCAATCCTTTAAATAAACTTATTCTAAAAGGTTACCAATTCAACACTGTAATAAGATCTTTGGATATTGCTTTTATTGGTATAAATATTGATTTTGTTATCATGATCAAACCATACTAAATATCATTGTTATACACATATGCACTTTCACGATACACACTACTACAATCTGTTGATACCTATATTTTGGCATTGCACAAGGTCGTGTTTTTCTCTGACGATTAATGACATCGTTACACTAAATCCATTGGATGTGTACTGATTATTATTTTAGTCAGACAAATGATTTTTTTAATAGTTGCTGTTGGCTTTGAACTAGCTGTCGGTAACTGTGAGTAGTCTCATATCCGAGCTATGTGTCTTTTTTTGTTTTTGGGGATGTATAAATACCCTGCCACATCCAGTCTGTGTTTTTGTTAGATGTTTTTCTGCTTTGTATCGATCTTATGAGTAAAGCCCTTTTCACTGATTTTTATAGTTTGTTCTTAAGTTGTACTGTTACACCAATGTCCCAGATTAGGGGTGTGTTGGTGCCTTCAAACATGTTTAACCCTGCCACATTCTATATTTGCCTGTCCCAAGTCAGGAGCCTGTAGTTTAGTGGTTGTTGTTGGTTCATTTCTGTCATATTTGTTTTTGTAAATTGTTTTGTTATTAATTAGGGCCGTTAGTTTTCTCTGTTGAATTGTTTTATATTTTTCATATTGGGGCCTTTCCTAGCCGACTATATGGTCAGGGTTTTCTCATTGTTAAAGGCCGTACAGTTGCCTATAATTGCTTATAACCACTTCATTTCATTTGAACTGTGGTGGACAGTTGTCTAGTTTGCAATCAAACCACATCTCTTTATCTTTATCAAGTTTATCTCCTTAAACTTGTTCATTGAAAGATTGAAAATGGTGATTTCGAAACGTTGTTCATTGAAAGATTGAAAATGGTGATTTCGAAACATTGTTCATTGAAAGATTGAAAATGGTGTTTTCGAAATGTTGTTCATTGAAAGATTGAAAATGGTGATTTCGAAACATTGCTCATTGAAAAATTGAAAAAGGTGATTTCCAAAGGGATATGTATAATATTGGAACCAGATATGGTGAATGACAATATTTTTCAAGCTTTTGGCCCAAAAAATAAATTGAAAAAAAATTCTGACCTACTGACTGTATTTTTTTTGGCCTTATAACATGTATTTTATCCCTTAATTTCTCAAAAGAAGAGAAAACAAAAGGAAAGATGTTAAGTGTAATTTGATGTTTAATAAAGACTGTGATTTGCATGGTTATCATTTTTCTTTATAAACTTATTTTTGTGTTATAAATTCTCTTTGGTATATCCATTTACATAATATGTATACTTAGTTAATTTTGTATATAATCCCTTACCATTACTGTTCTATCACTGAACCAATCTCCACCACAAAGGTTAAGAAGTTGTTCCAATGTATAAACACTCTGCATATCTATCCATCCTTTACTGAATAGATTCTTGAGACATTTGTCTAGAACTTCACATGGTAACAATTTAAGTGGTATGTGTTGATTACTCTTATCCTTCATATTAACAGGAAGAATATCATTGACAATTTTCCTTAGAATATTAGACATCAAGTGTGATCTGTAAAATGCAAGGTTCAATATATTATACACAGCTTCATCGATTCCTGATGATTTTAATGTGAATCAAAGTGTGGACTTATGATAATTTTATCATAAACTGTTGACACAGAGATATGTTTTACCTGTCTGCAAAAAATTCGAAAAAGACAATCTGATGGACTGCAACATTCCTAATTAATTCAAAGTCACTGGACCTAGGGGTCAGGACCTCTAAATAGTCATCAAACTGAAATGTACTGATAGTAATGCAATTTTATACAAAATATAGTTGATATATCAAATGGTAGTTCTTACTAAACTGACTTCAGCAGAAAACTAAACATTGAAAATTGCTCATTAATAGAAAGTCTATGGACCGTGACCTAGGAGGCAGGTCCTCAAAATAGTTGTCAAACTTATATGTACTAACAGTAATGCAACTTTGTACAAAATATCATTGATTTATCACAAGTAGTTCCTATCATTCTGACTTAAGCAGAAAACTTAACAACTGTTGGCACCACCATTGACGACGACACTGGAAAAGCAACACCTTTGTCTTGTTTTCTGTGACTTTTGTTGCAAGCGAGACAAAAACCTCTTCCAAAATGATACAATATGACAACTGTTTTACTGTTTATATCTTTTAGTGAAATAATGACAAATGGAATTCTTGTATCACCGGTAACTGACTACAGTCAATAAAGTTGTAGAATATATATCAATACACCATATACACAAATACTGCTGATGTACAATCTATATATCATATTTTATTAATCTAGTAATTTTCTGAAAAGAATATCTTATCAGATTAAACTCTAAAAGACCTAAACAATAATTAATAAAAGTGCAATGCTACACACAGTGTTAATACTGTCAGGTTCATTCAATTCCAAAGATTAATGTAAAATATGTAGAAGTAATGAGTTTATGAAATAAAACAGACAGAAAGACAGACAGACAAACAGAACAAAACAAAACAATATGTCTCTCAACCTATATGAGTATGGTTCATAAAATATCTCAGCAAAATTTGATCTTCAAAATCATTTCTGATTGAATTACAATGCTCCTTTCAGGAAAATAACTTCACCCTCAGGAAGATTTGATCTTCAAAATCATTTTTGATTGAGTTAGTTACAAAATACCTTTCAGTAAAATGAACTTCACCCTCTGTAGGATTGATGTTCTGTAAAAATTGCAGCATTTTCAATGGCTTCTCTCTTGACTCCTCCCCTACTGTGTTCATATAACTACATAACCATGTTGACATGATAATTGGAAGGCATAACATTTTGCTTTTACTTCTGTTAACCATTGTCTGAAAATATAAAATATATACTTATGTTACTTTAACTAAACTAAAGGCTTGAAGGAGCCTGAATAGATCACATGCACCTTGAAAGTAGATCTTTTGAGCAAAAAAAAAAAAAAAAAAAGAAACAAAATTAAAGAACAAAGTTTCGATGTCTCCAGTGTTGCACATATCTTATCTGCCAAAAATCTTTTTTTAACCATTCAATTAATATTTCACAAGAAATAAAGACATTAGATTGCTAACAATGTTATTTTCCATATATTTCTATTTCAAGGGCATAACTCCTATAAAAACTGTTATCACAGAGACATGTCTCGCTTTTTTGTAATTTTGATTATGCAAATGCTGAAATTAAAATGGCAATACTTAACAAGTTAGGCTAATATTCAAAGTCAATGAACCATGACTGAGGTACATGGCTAAACCATCTCCATGTAAATGAGATGAGCCAATGTAAATACAACTGCATACCAAATATCATTGACTAATTATAAGTTGTTCCCTTTAAACAAACCTAAACACAAACATTAACTTGTAAACTATGTAAAAGTTTCAAAGTCAATGAACCATGAAGAGGGGGTAGAGCTATATAATCTCCATGGAAACGATACTTACAAATGCCAATAAATTTGCATACCAAATATCATTGACTTAACATTAGCAGTTCATCTTAAACTGATCTTATCACAAACTAATACATGTAAACTAAGCAAAAGTTTCAAAGTCATTAGGCCATGACTGAGGGGATGTGGCCAAATATTCACCATAGAAATGAGATGTGCTAATGCTTATACAACTGAATACCAATTAACATTGGCCTACCACTAATGGTTCCCCTTGAACTGACCTAATCACAAACTAATACATGTTAACTAAGCAAAAGTTTCAAAGTCAATAGACCATGACTAAGAGGGCTGAGCCAAATAATCTCCATGGAAATGAGATATGCCAATGCTTATACATCTGCATACCAAATATCATTGACCTACCACTAATGGTTCCTCGTAAACTGACCTAATCACAAACTAATACATGTAAAATAAGCAAAAGTTTCAAAGTCAATAGACCATGACTGAGGGGGCAGGGCCAAATAATCACCATGGAAATGAGATGTGCCAATGCTAATACAACTGTATACCAAATATCATTGACCTACCACTAATGGTTCCCCATAAACTGACCTAATCACAAACTAATACATGTAAAATAAGCAAAAGTTTCAAAGTCAATAGACCATGACTGAGAAGGTAGGGCCAAATAATCTCCATAGAAATGAGATGTGCCAATGCTAATACAAATGTATTCCAAATATGATTGACCTACAACTTGTGGTTCACCACAAACTAGACCTAATCACAAACTAATACATTGTTGACGCCACTGCCGCCGCCGGAAACAGCATACCTATGTCTCGCTTTTTGATTCCGTCAAGCAAGACAAAAATAGTTTGTGGGCCCTATTCTAAGGCCTTGCTGATATCAGCCTTTGATTTAAGCTTCATAAAAATTGACAAGAAATGTAGGTGTGAGGGTGCTTGCCATGCAAGGTTTAATATGAATATAGAACAATAGTTGATCAGCACTCATTTTTCTAAATTGTCCAAGACATTGCTGAGAAACCTTTGATATAAATTTCATAAAAATCTGGAAAGAATTGTTCATGTGAAAGCACTTACAAGACTGGACAGATGGATGCACCCAAGGAAGCCCAAACTGACATCTGATATTACTAAGTCCCCCACAACACATGGCATTCTAAGAATAAAACTGTGTAAAGGAGTAAGTTCATTTGGGGCCATTTTTGGCCCTGAATATTAAGATCATTGTTTCAAAATAAATACTGTTTCAAGTTGATTAAGACATGTAAGAAAGTGTTATAGAACTATTTTTGTACAGCTTTTCTTCTAAAGCATTAAAATTTACAAACCAAATAATCCATAAAAAGAGTTGTGAGAAATTAAACAAAATCGTCTAGATTTTAAACAAATTTAGGGAAACATGGAGCATAGCTTCGACAAAACTAAATAGTCAAGTCAGATATGTTAAATATTATATCAAACGTTATGTTAAAAGATCTTTTTTGACAATGCATGCACTCTATGTTTCCAGTCCAAAAAATCAATGGAAACTTACCTGTTTTCATTGAATGTTCGTGGAAATCCAAAATGTGTGCTATTTGTGACATCATGAAAAGAAAGCTAATACGTAAATTGTCAACAAATAGACATATTTCCTACCTTGTCACTGATTTAGCTATGATTAAATGTGGTATTGGTCAATAAACCCTAATTTTAAATGTCTGCTAGAAATAGAGGCCCTTTTGGTGCCTTATCGAACTTACTCCTTTGCCATTATATCTACAAAGGATGTTGTTCCATACACGCTTACATGTTTGACCTCGTTTACCTGATCACCTTTATGTTCATTGTTATGCATCATCAATTCTATTGATTAAGACAAGCTAAGGTCTCTCATCAAAGATAATGACCTGTAATCAGTGAATGATTTATGGCTTCAATATTACTTATTGAAGGGATAATTGTTTGACAGCTTGTTGTTTTTTAAATAAAAGAACAAATTTTTTTTCTACTTTTTATTGATGTACCAAGCCGTGCATTTGTGTACCCAGAGGATTAGACTAACTGAGACACTTCAAAGTATGAAATATGCTGCATCTGTTTAATTAAACCCAAATATGACCGAAATATCTTTGTGAAATAGATTGCCACAATTATAAACTATAATGCCCAAACGGACATTTTTTCCGATTGATAGTTGGTAAAAAAAGTGAAATGACCGTTTTATGAAAATGCCTTGAATAACTGCAAACCTATGATATTTGACCGTTTGAGGCTGAGAGCAGCCGGACTTTTTATATAAATTTCGGTCAAGTCCGGAATATATGACCGTTTTGGAAGCCATGGCTGAGGGTCGTATTTCGCATAAAAAAAAGAAGTACAACAAAATGAAGATTACCGTAGAAAGGCTTGTATAGTCCGCGGTTTTATTCTCCAAAATTGGACCTTCCAGACGGGGTGCGGACTATAGAGTACAATAAGCAAGAAATAAGAGAAAAATTTCAATTTCGCGGTCGAGGTGGTTTGTTTACGTTCCGCCATCTTTGTTATTTCTATTGTAGAGGGCGCTCTTATCATTTTTCAAACTAATAATTTTAACTCATCCATTTTAATAAGTTATTTTTATTCAATATCAAATTAATACTGATAAATATAAAAACTAAACCTTTCATTACAAATTTCTCGTTTCTTTTCAATGCATTGGTTGAAATAAACTGGTATCTGCTCGATTGAAACGATACAAACATAGTGAAAAAGACAACCGTAAACCAGCTTAGAATTTGTAAACTACAAAACGAAATCGGTTATTGTTCGTTCCGTTTTGGTGTTTCATACTGACGAATATGGTTTGTATAAGCTTAAGACCCTTCAAACATTAATGTGATAGATATATTAAAGACTGTTTTACAAAAGGATGGAACTGTTTTACTTTCAAAGTCGTATTATAGTGATATCTGTTATGTACGAATTTCGACTCTCACCGGTTAATTTCTTCTTTTACACGTGCTTTTTAAACTTCCTGTTTAAACATACACAAGTTTCTAAATTGTTTTTTAAGTGAATTAAACTTATTTTAACAATCATGAAGCGTTCTAGAATCATTAACAAGCAGTTTCAGCTTCTGTTTGATGATGGAAAACAGGTTTTTCCAAGAAAATACCGCAAACGACCGCACAGGATTTGAAATTACCGGAGTTTCATTAGACCTTTTCTAACAGTTACAAAAAGTTTTTTTACATAGAATTTCGTGGGGAGAAGGGGGTGCGGACTATGTACCACTGCGAACTATACAAGCCTTTCTACGGTATTGATATGTATGTGCCTAGTTTAAAGTAAGGAATTTTAAATATTATAAAAATTTAAGTGAACAAGATTTTGCTGTTGATAGATTAAATTTGATTTTTTTTATATATATTTGTGAGTCTAAATGTCTCCAACAACTGATGATCATAAAATTATACATCTGTTAAAATAGGTTAAATTACAGTTCTTTTAAATGAAAAATATGCTTTATATAGAAATATCAGTTATAGATACTGATGTAATGATATGAAATGGACTTTAACTGTTTGAACTGATTAGATTAACTGATGACGTAATCTATCAACAATATAACATGATTACACAAAATCTGATGAACTGTGTGTTTGTGTATTTATCAAATCTTCAGGTTGTAACATGAAAAAGCCATACCATATGTACTAAACTCCTGTATTGTACTTTTGTACAAAGTTATGGATTTAAGTTTTGCCTATTCAATGATGTTACAAGAGTATCACATAAAGGTTCAATACATACTTCATTTGTAAAACTGTTGTCAAATTTTCATAAAAAAATTGAAACTTCAAAATAGCAAGTTTGTGGTCAAAGAACATTCAAGTCATCAACTGATTTCAAAGAAGTAAATATTTTTAACAAGAGTGCACACACTGAAATGTCTCGCCTGTTTTACTGACCTTTGATTTTATGTTGAAAGTCTTAAAGATAAAAGGTCTTACTATAAATATCTCATAAACCTGACAAATTTATGATCCATGCTAATGAGGTCAAGGTCAGATAAATCCTGACAGACATGTTCACCTTACCATTATTCCATACACCAAATATAGTTGACCTATTGCTTATGGTAATTGAAAAACAGACCAAAACACAAAAACTTAACATTGACCAATGAACCATGAAATTGAGGTCAAGGTCAGATTATACCTGCCAGACAAACTTGTATACCTTACAATCATTCCATACACAAAACATAGTTGAACTCCTGCTTATAGTATTTGAAAAACAGACAAAACACAAAACCTTAACATTGTTTTACCAATGAACCATAAAATGAGGTCAAGGTCAGATGATACCTACCAGACAAACATGTACACCTTGCAATCATTCCATACACATAATACAGTTGACCTACTGCTTATAGTAT